CATCCTGCTAGAACCCCATTCACTGCACTCAGGCAGGGGAGAGGTGATAGACCTTTTTTTTAAAAAAAGATGGTGCCCTGGCTGGTTTCGCTCAGTGGGTGGATAGAGCATAGGTCTAGATACTGAAGGGTTTAGGGTTCCATTCCCGGTCAGGGCACATGCCCTGGTCTCGGGTTCGATCCCCAGTGTGGGGGGGACTGCAGGAGGCAGCGGATCTATTTATATGATTCTCATCATTGATGTTTCTATCTCTCCTCCCTCTCTGAAAATCAGTAAATACATACTTATTTAAAAAGAATAATGGTAAGGAACGTTTTCAAAGACGCAGACTATTTTTCAAATGAATCTTTATTGTTGAAAATATTACATATGTCCCCCTCCTCCCCTCCCTTTGACCGCCTCCAGCCCCTCCCCCGCCCCCAGGCCTTTGCCACCGTTATCTGCGTCCATGAGTTATGCAAATAGGCATATAAGGGTCTAAGATGCAAACTATTAAAACCCGATGTGTCAATCTAAGGACATCCATACTGTTTAAACGGCCCATGATTTAAAAGTGTGTGTGTGTGTGGGGGGGGGGGGAGGTCCGGGGAAACAACGTTAGGACTCGGCAGGTTAAGAGCAGAGCCTGTGACCGCAAAGCCAGGCCGCAGGTCCAGGAAGTGGTTAGAGACCTGCGTTAAGGACACTGACCCCTTGGTCTTGGAATTCACAAACTGCTTAGCCTGGGGCTGGGGGAGGGGGCGCATGAGAACGGGCCTAAGCCAGGCCTGGTGTTACTTAAACCTGAGTCCACCCAGTTTGGGGACGACGCTGAGCCCGAAGCCTGGGTGGAGAAGGACGTGAGTGCAAAGGATGTCAATCCTTGGTGAGGTCGCCAGGGCAAATGCAGCGGGAATAGCCAAGGCTTCGCTGGAGAAGTCTAATCCATCCGCCTCTGGGGGTGGGGGCCGGCTGCACCCTCGCAGACCCGCAATTAACATCTAACTCTTGGGACTAAAAACTAGGCCAGCGACGCTTCCAGAGCTCCGCGTCACTGTAAACTCCTCCCCAACCAGCGTCTTTGCTTGATCCTCTCGTAGGTACAAGGGACGGGTGTCCCTGCCAGGAAAACAAAAAATCCTAAGTAGCCTAGAAATTTTCATATATCCGTACCCCTCCCGCTTGCTTCTTCCTACGGACCACCCCCAGAAGGAGCCAATCCCTCCCAATGGGCCCAGGGCGCCGCCGTCCCAGAACCCTGTGCACAAACCGCCACCGGTCTGAAGCGCCTGCTAAAGCTTAGGCCGCCGGCATCCAACCCGGAAACGTCACTGAAACACGAGAGTCAGAGCGCGCTCAGCTCCTCCGGGAGGGCGTGGGCGGCCCTGAAAAGGGCCTTTGGTTTTGCGCAGGCGCCGCGGGCGGGGAGCGGGCTCAGCCGCCGAAGCCGTAGAGGGTGCGGCCCTGGCGCTTGAGCGCGTACACCACGTCCATGGCCGTGACCGTCTTGCGCTTGGCGTGCTCCGTGTAGGTGACGGCGTCGCGGATCACGTTCTCCAGGAACACCTTGAGCACCCCGCGCGTCTCCTCGTAGATGAGCCCGGAGATGCGCTTGACGCCGCCGCGCCGCGCCAGGCGGCGGATGGCGGGCTTGGTGATGCCCTGGATGTTGTCGCGCAGCACCTTGCGGTGGCGCTTGGCGCCGCCCTTGCCGAGCCCCTTCCCGCCTTTGCCGCGACCAGACATGATCACGCCGCACAGAGAAGCAAGTAGCGAGCGGAGAAAGAGCTCCTTCTTATATAACCCGCCAACCCCGCCCCTAATCCGCCCCGCCCTCGACCTACCTAATGATTGGACGGCGCGCTGGCGGGAAATGTGACGTCACGGCCCCGCCCTTGATCCCTCCTCCAAACCCGGGCGCTCGCGCGGGAAGGGGGAGGCGAGAGCCAGAGCCCAGCGTGAGTCTTGATGGGTCTTTAACTGCAGTTACCTAAGGAGCCCTGGGGAAACTCAAGGTTCTAAAAGGTATTTCAAGCAGGAAAGGCGACGTGAAAAGGCAAAAAGGTCATTTGACGGCAAGCAAATTGTGGGGAGAGTACCACGATCACAGGCAGAAATGGAAGTTTAGTAAATGCCAAGCCTGCTTTTGAGGTTTGGGCCGCACTAACCCTTGGAATGCCAAGATCTTTCACGTCCCCCAAACCTTGCTCCTAACTAGGACTGAAGTGAAAACCGGCTCAGAAATTATCACTGGGAAAGGCCAGGCAATATTTATACGGCGCCAAAGGTGTCCCTATGTACCAGGATGTGCTTTAAATCACGATCCCACGAACACTCCTATTAACCCACTGCGGGGGAGGTAGTGTTTTCCAGCCCTTTGCTGCAGAAGGTGGGCGGCTCTGAAAAGAGCCTTTGGGTTTCCGTGTTGGCGGATAGGAATGACGGAGCTCAGGCCCGCTCCCCGCGGATGCGGCGCGCGAGCTGGATGTCCTTGGGCATGATGGTGACGCGCTTGGCGTGGATGGCGCACAGGTTGGTGTCCTCGAACAGCCCCACCAGGTAGGCCTCGCACGCCTCCTGCAGCGCCATGACGGCCGAGCTCTGGAAGCGCAGGTCGGTCTTGAAGTCCTGCGCGATCTCGCGCACCAGGCGCTGGAACGGCAGCTTGCGGATCAGCAGCTCCGTGGACTTCTGGTAGCGCCGGATCTCGCGCAGCGCCACGGTGCCGGGCCGGTAGCGGTGCGGCTTCTTCACGCCGCCCGTGGCCGGCGCGCTCTTGCGGGCCGCCTTGGTGGCCAGCTGCTTGCGGGGCGCCTTCCCGCCCGTGGACTTGCGCGCTGTCTGCTTCGTGCGAGCCATGACAAAGCGTGAAAAGAGGCAAGGGACTGTGGAGTGCATCTCCTGGAACCGCTGCTGGTATTTATAGGAAGTCATGTGCAGCGATTGGGTGGGGAAAGTGTTTAGATATTACGTTTCAGGTTCTGATTGGTGTATATTGAAGCTTTTCAACAACAGTGCAGTTTTACATTGTTTTACTTTTGTTCTCCAGCGCACCCGATGTTCATAGTCTGAATTCAAAGCTTTGAGCATTATATTGTCATAAAAGTGCAAGCATTGGCCTCAATGGTACTACAGCTTTTTAATTCTGTATATTCCTTTGCTTCTTGGGGAAGGAAATTATTGCCACCACCTCCTCTCCCTCCCCAGCCACCTCCCCGGACTCCCGCCCATATCCGTTGCATGGCAGATCAGGCAAGTTTCTGTAACCTCTTAATTGACTGAAGGACTTCATTAAGCCTACAAAACAGTAAATCACAGTAACTTTCACAGAAATGGCCCCTGTAACCAGGCACCTTTTGTTATGAGTTTTGTGTTCTGTGTCCTACACTTGGATTTTCTGAAAGTCATGTTTCCTAAAACCTAGAGTACTTTTCGCGCTGCAAAAAACAAACAAAACCACATAAACAAAAACAAAACAAAACAAAACAAAAAAAAAAACCCTGTGACGTCCAGAACCAAACTGGATACATTGGCTTTTGGGCCCTAAGGAGAACTACTTAACAATTTCAAGACCTCACCTTTTTACTTAATTTTTTTTCAATCTTGAAAGATGCAAGCATGGCTTTTCCCCCCACTGGGATGAGGGAGACCAGATTGTAGTGCATTTTGATTAGCTGAGTCCATTATGGCGACTTTGCATATGTAAAGGCTCCTTGGCCGAAAAGACGTCGTTTAATATTTCCATTTTAAAAGCTTCCTGATTACCATTTGACTTATCGCCCCCCTCCCCCAATTAGATTTTACAACTTTCCAAAAATACTCACATAGGCCCAGTCTTGGAGAAGTATTTATACCTGTGTCATTATAGGTGACTCTCCTTCAACTGTCCTCTTCGAAATTCTTAGAAATGGTGTGATGCATTTTCAAAAAGAAAGACTCTCCCGATGGTGGGAGGTAGAAACGGCCGTAAAGAAGACGGGGGCAGTGTGTTTGGGCCGTGACGTGAGTGGCAGCCACCTATGAGCAAATCCCCGCGTTGCTAAGGAAACGGGGAGACGCCGGCAGCAGAGGGGCCGGACCGGTTTGAGAACCGCAGCGGCAGCGCGCGCGCGCGCGGGGACGTGACGTCGCCGGCCTGGTTTCCCGCCGCCGGCAGCGTTGGGCATTAGCCTTGGGAATGCCTTTCGCCGCTTTTAGGGCGTCAGACAAGATAAGGAAGTTTGCGCTAATTATTCCCCCCAGCCCCTGGGGTTGTCTTTTCACTTTCAAACACACAGGAATCCCCCACCCCCACCCCCGGGTACCGGTTGATGCCTCGGAGCTGGGTGTGAGTTCGCACAGCTGTGACTATTGGGTGACTGCGGACAGCGGACCCAGGCCGGGGCGGCGTAAGCATTAGAAGGCACTTGGCTTTGGGGAAATGCGCTGGCAGAGGTCTCCCCACGTCCCGCCGGAGCGTTCGCGGAGGTGCCAGCGACTCCTGTGGCGCCCACTCCACCCGCAAACCCAGGTCCCGCCCCCCCCCCCGGCGTTGCGGGGAAAGGCGGTGGCAGGGGTGAGACCCGGCGCCCAGCCCGCGCTTCCCCGCCCTCCTTCCCTCTCTCCCCCCTTCCTCCCCCGCAGCCATCCATGTCAGCCCCTCACCTTCACTGCGACCGAGAGCCACGTCCCTAACGTCCTCCAGGCGGAAGCCCGGAGGTCCTGATGCGATTCCTCGCTCACCAATGGTCCCCACCCTAACCCCCCCCCCCCCCCCAAAAAAAAAAAGGAAAAGAAAATCCTATTTTTTCTTTAAAAAGTAGCACCGCAACGCTTCAGGGGCTGCAGAGCCCGGCCCTCCCCTGTCCCGGAGCCCGGGCGCGCGGCAGGGACCGGGGGGCCCCTCGCCGAGCCGACAGGGGGCGCCGGCGGCGGCGCGCACCAATCACAGCGCGGCCCGGCCTTATAAATACGCGGCGCCCGGGCCCGGCGGGCCGTCCAGCCTCTCCGGTTCCTGCGGTTGTTGCCTCCCGGCTCCCACCATGTCCGAGACCGCGCCCCCGGCCCCCTCGGCCTCCGCCGCCCCCGACAAGCCCACGGCCGGCAAGAAGGCGAAGAAGCCGGCGAAGGCGGCGGCCGCCAGGAAGAAGCCCGCGGGGCCCTCGGTCTCCGAGCTCATCACCAAGGCGGTGGCCGCCTCCAAGGAGCGCAGCGGCGTGTCGCTGGCCGCGCTCAAGAAGGCGCTGGCGGCCGCGGGCTACGACGTGGACAAGAACAACAGCCGCATCAAGCTGGGCCTCAAGAGCCTGGTGAGCAAGGGCACCCTGCTGCAGACCAAGGGCACCGGCGCCTCGGGCTCCTTCAAGCTCAACAAGAAGGCGGCCTCGGGCGAGGCCAAGCCCAGCGCCGCCAAGGTCAAGGCCAAGGCGACGGGCGCCCCTAAGAAACCCAGGAAGCCCGCGGGCGCCGCTGCCGCCAAGAAAGCTGTCAAGACCCCGAAGAAGGTCAAGAAGCCGGCGGCGGCGGCCAAGAAGGCTGCCAGGAGCCCCAAAAAGCTCAAGGCCGCCAAGCCCAAGAAGGTCGCCAAGAGCCCGGCCAAGGCCAAGGCCGTGAGGCCCAAGGCGGCCAAGGCGAAGGTGGCCAAGGCCAAGAAGGCGGCGCCCAAGAAGAAGTAGGTCCGGTTTGGAACCCGGTTCCTATCACCCAACGGCTCTTTTAAGAGCCACCTACCCGCTTCTGGAAGGAGCTTGCAAATGCGCGGGACGAGGGCTGGGCCCCTTTGCAAACTACTCGGGCAGTGCTCACGGGGGGCCCAAAGCTGCTGGAAACGTGTGGGGGTTCCCAGGGATTTAACCTGCAGCGGGACGGGACGTGGGAAACCCCATCAGTCAGCGATGGTCATTGCGATCGGAACCCCTGGCTGGTGTGGCTCTATGGGTAGAGCGGAGGAGTGGGCTTCGGATGGAAAGGTCACAGGTTCCGTTCTGGCCCAGAGCACAAGCCCGGGTTGTAGGTTCAGTCCCCCCAGTATAGGGGGTCGGGGGGCATGCAGGGGGCAACTGATCCATTTGTCTCAAAATCAAGAGGAAGGTTTTAAAAGAAGGATCCCTGGCCCAGGCTGGGAGGGCTCCCTTTTGCTGAAGCGGACTCCGAAGTTGGGAGAAGCTTTTGCGGTGCCCAGTGAGCCTAAGGCTCCGCATCTGCCTCCGCAGCCCATGGGGCAGGCGAGCTGGAGTGGCCGTGGGCCACCTGTGTGTCCGGCAGGGGGGCCTCCAGCGCCCGCACGCCGGGTGGATTGGCCGGCTGCCCCCCTGGCTTCTAGCCGGGGCCCGGATAAAGGAGCTCAGCTGCAAGGAGGCGAAAAAGCCAAACCCCAAGTGTTCCTTCTGGAGAAAGCTGCCCGGGTTGGGTCACATCGGAAGTTCTCTGCCTCTCAACCCGGTGGCGTGGGACTCTGGCAGAACAGTCCCTTTACGCGTCAGGAGTTTTGATTCTGGGATTCGGAGTGTACCGTCTTTTCCATGTCCAAGAGCAATTGGCATTTGATGAGCCAGGTTTCCTCACTGTTCCTCAACTCGGCTCTCAGTTTGTTTGCTTTTTTTAAATATCTTTTTATTGATTTCAGAGAGGGAGAGAAACGAATCTTTGATCGCCCCTACACATGGAATGAAGCCCCTCACAACCCCAGCCTGTGCCCTGTGCCCTGTGCCCTGGCCGGGAATCGAACCCTGACCTTCTGGTTCATAGGTGGACGCTCAACCCCTGAGTCACACAGGCCGGGCTGCTTTGTCTAACAAAACCTTGAGAAAATCTCTTCAAGTCAATTTAAAAATACAATGAAGGTGCCATCCATGTTCCTTCCGACACGTTCATTATGTTTTTAAATTATATACTTAAGAAGTGTCCTCCACGCGGGGTAGCGATGGTAACCCATTGACAAGGACTGAGGTTTGCATTTACCACTCCTGGCCGTGGTGCGTGGACAGGAGAGTTCTAGTGCGGAAATTGCCAGAGGGAGCACATTTTATAATAATTTTCAGTGGGTCGCTGCTGACAGATCCTGAAAATAGCGCTCCTCTCCCGCCAGCCCTAACGGGAGCCTCGTTAATGCCTGCAAGTCCACTGCGTGCAGAATTACCTCACACCGTCACTCCCTTTATTCACTGTGCACGTCTGAATTCCCACTCACACGCTCGCTCTTTCCCTGGGAAGTCTGACTTTCTCTTGTCCCATTGGTTTCTTTTTTTTTTCTTTTTTTCTTTTTTTTTTACGTATAATAGAAAAAATTAACCTTACATTTATCTCCTGTGTGGTAGTTAGTTTTCTAATTTGGGGGAGTCCCCCCCACTATATTTTCTTAGCATACGACTCGTATGTCTTATACAGCATGTCACAACTCATTAAATGTGTGTGCTTTCCCCGTGTTTCCTTTCTGCCTTTTGCTTCAAAAAGAGCAGCCGTGTGATATGCAACCCTGCGATGTTCTGTGGAATCTTGGTCCCTCACCTGGGCTGGTCACCCATCGGACAGGAGGGAAGTTCTCCAGACACAATGCCATCGAGAACCAAGTCAACCAGGTTAAGGACACCCGGGTGTGGCTGGCACATTCACAAAGCAGCCGTCTTCACCGGTGATGCTCAATACTGGCCTTTAAAAAAACCCTGGATTAAAAAGCATCCTAGAGCCTGGGTTTCAGGGGATAGCTTCCCATTTTCCTCGTGTGGGAAGCCATCCAGACACAAGCAACGTGGCTCGAATGGATGCCCGTATCTTTGCATGTGCAGTCCCATCAGGGCCCTGGCAACCCCATGAGATAGAATTAATTGTCTTTAATGTTCAGATGAAGGGAGGAAGGGAGGGAGGGACGGAAGGAAGGAGGGAGGGAGGAACGGAGGGAGGGAGGGAGGGAGAAAGGATGGAAAGGAGGGAGGGAGGAAGGAAGGAGGGGGGGCTCTCAGGCCTTAAGCAGGGCCCCCAGCACCTGCATACGGAGATGGGAGATGGCTCCTTGCTGTGGAGCTGGGCAGGGAGAGTGTGGATCTCAGCGGGATATCTGGGTCCTTCCCTTGCCACCGACAGCCTGAGAACCAAGGAAACAGGCCAATTTGTTCCTCAACGAGCCATCCCTGTTCCTTCTGACACGTTTATTCTATTTTTAAGTTGTTGCTTGTCAGCAATTCAACCTCCTTATGGGGTCACCTTGCGGCCCACACCCTGAGCAGAGAGCTTGCCTGGTGTTGTGCGGGCCGATCTGCCTCCCAGAATTCCACGTTGCCTTTATTCACTTATTTATTTATTGTTAAGCCTCACCCGGGGTTTCGATTGATTTTCAGAGAGAGTGAAAGGTAGAGGGAAAGGCAGAAATGTCAATGTGAGAAGAACATATCGATTGGTTGCCTCCTGCACGCGCCCCCACCAGGGAGGAACATGCAACTCGGCATGCTGTGCACTTGTTCATAGATCAACACTCAGCCACTGAGACACGCAGGCCGGGTGTGGCTCAGATTATTAATCAAAAGGTCAGTGGCTAAAAGACTCACTGCTAGTTTGGTTTTTCAGTTCTTTCGTGCAACCTTCCCTCCTCCCCCCCACCACCCCAGCCTCAAACCATGTCAAACAAGCTGGTGGGATTTGGGCCTCCTGACCTCAGTCACCCCACCAGTCACCCCAGGGCGTCTGGAAATCAAAGCTCCGAAGCCTGCAAAGGGAGATGCTGAGGCTCAGACTGACCCCTGCGGTATTTTTACAATAAATATACACTGAGTGGCCAGATTCATTCCCCATCCAGTACTGACCACCCGATCAGTACTTTGTTGGGTCACCTTTTGCCTTCAATACTGCAGCCATTCTACTTGGCATCAACTGCACGAGATGCTGAAAGGTTTTGCGAGGAATCAGACACCATGACTGAGAAATAGCACTGTCCTGTCCGGGGAGATTGGATGGTTGTGGAACCAGCAGCCTGATGGCTTTTAACTTCGTCCCCCAAATGCTCAATTGGATTGAGATCTGGTGATTGCGGGGGCCGCCTAATCAAGGGAAAGTCTCCCTCACGTTCTTGAAACCAATCCCGCACAATACGAGCACGGAGGCATGGCGCATTGTCTTGTTGGAAGAAGCCATCTCCATTGGGATACGCCATCAACATGATAGCATGATTTTGATCAGCAATGATATTTAGGTGTGTTGTGCTATTCAGACGTTGTTCCACACGAACTAAAGGGCCCAAATCATGCCAGGAAAACATGCCTCAAACCATAACACTGCCCCCACCAGCATGAAGGGTTGTACTCATGCATGTGGGGTGCAGGCGTTCATGCTGTTTCTGCAAAATTCTCACTCTGCCATCTGCATGATGCAACAGGAAACGTGATTCATCGGACCACATGACTTTTTTCCAGTGCTCGGCTGTCCCATCCTTGTGTTCCTGTGCGAACTGGAGACGTTTTATCTTGGTGACTGCAGACAGCAAAGGTGTTTGAACAGGCCTTTGGCTTCCATATCCCATGCAAAGAAGCATATGGCTAATTTGCCTACACACGTCAGGTGGGCATAATAATCTGGCCACTCAGTGTATATCATATGTTTTATTGATTTCAGAGAGGAAGGGAGAGGGAGAGACAGAAACATTGAGAAAAAAAATCATTGATTGGTTGCCTCCTGCATACCCCAACTGGGGGTGGAGCCCGTAACCCAGGTGGGAATCGAACTGTGACCTCCTGGTTCACAGGTCGACGCTTAACCACTGGGCCACCCAGCCCGGCTTTACAGCTTCTACATCCATTCCTCGTCCATGCCGCCCCCTCCCTCCCAGTTCCCCCCCCCACACACACACACATACACACACAAGGAAGATATACCCAGGATCCACTAACAGCCCAGCACTGCTCTGGGGCAGGGAAATAGCATGGAGAACCCCACCCTAGGCCAGAATCCCACCCTAGGCCTTCACACTCCTCTCTGCTGGCTCAGCCACACGGAGGCCTGCTCCTCGCCTCACTTGTCCGGGCTGGGCAGGAACAGGGGGGAATACGGGGAAACCTGGAAATAGGGCCTCAGGATGCCGGGGAAGGAGGACCTGGGGAAGGTGAAGAGGTGGGAGCCCGAGGTCGCGTTGTAGAAGGACACAACCCCGACCTCACAGTCCACGAGAACCCCCACCACCAGGGGCGGCTCCTCCAGGCCGAGAGGCGTGCGCGGCCAGGTCAGCGCCTGGTAGCCGTCCCTGGCGCACAGCCGCAGGGCCCAGAAGCCGGCCTCGGGCTTCTGCAAAGTCTCCACGAACCTCTGCACGCTCTCCAGGCACACGCCCACGTCCCAGCCCATGCCCTCGCCCACGTCCACCTCAAAGTACTGTCGCCAGCATGTGAAGCTCTGCCGGCCCAGGATGCAGGGCAAGACCGTGAATCTCCAGGGAGAGGGGTCCCCTGCGCCCTGGGGGCAGCCCCCCCGTGTCACTTGTCTCTGATCCTTGGACAGAATTAGTTCTGGATGCGCTGTTTCTGGATCCAGAGTCACGCCAACTGCAGGGGAGAGAGGGGAAAGAAATATTGGGTGTTTGTTTGCTGAGAACACAGTTTGGTTTCTCTTCTTTTCTTTCTTTCTTTCTTTCTTTCTTTCTTTCTTTCTTTCTTTCTTTCTTTCTTTGTTTTTATGCAGGGGTTTTATTTGTTTGTTTTTAAACCCTCATCCAAGGATAATTTTTCCATTGCTAGACCAACTTTTATTATTATTAAAATATATTATGTTGACTTCTGAGAGGAAAGGAGAGAGAGAGAAACATCAACAATGAGAGAGAATCGTGGATCCAATGCCTCCTGCATACCACACACTGGGGATCAAGCCCACAACCCAGTCCTCTGCCCTGACCTAGAATTGAACCCTGATCTGCTGGTTCATAGGTCAATGCTCAACCACTGAGTCATGCTGGCCGGGCTTCCAATGGTTTTTTAGAGAGTGGAAAGGAGGGGGAGAGAGAGAGAGAGAGACAGACACATCAATTGGTAGAGGCACCTGCCCTTGAAATGGAACCTGGGACCCTTCTGTGTAATGAGAAGAAGTTCAAGGGTAGAAGTCAGGCCGCTGGGACACAGCGTGGGCATTCACAGGGGAACCTCAACCACCTGGGATTTAGCCATGGCGGACTCAGACTCCCGGTTCTGCTGGGGATGTGGTCCTGGGGGCACATTTGTTCTATGAATGTGCCTTGGAGGGTGGGGAAGAGGCAGCTGGGCACTTCCTCCTGGGACCTTTCCCCTGTGGGCACGCAAAGGGCTCCTGGACTCCGTGCACACTCCACCCTGCGGGCCCCTGGTTGGCTTTGGGGTTCAGAGCTGGAAAGGGGCCCCCCTCCCAAAACCTTCTGTTATAGAGAAGATCAGCCTGTGCTGTGGAGTCTGACCCTTGTTTCAAACTAGCAACGGGATCTCAGGGAAGTGATCATAAAGTAATAACCCTCCCATTTGTCCCCCTCAACCCTGGCAGGGCGGAGGCTGCCCTGAGCTCGGTCCCCTGGGCGCTTGGTCAGAGGCCCTCACGCACCTTGGAGGCTCCTCAACTGTTCCATCGGGTCAAAGTAGAGCTCCGTGACCTCGCACTCGGTCTGAACCTCCAAGGACAGGGCCTCCGGGGTCTCCAGCCGCACAGCCTGGCTCCTGGGGGGGCAGAGGCCAGAGCTGCTCAGCGGGCACCCCGCAGCTCCGCACCCCACTCCCCCTCACCTGGCGCCAGCACTCACCTGCTCAGGGCGCCCTTCACATCCTGCGGGAAGCAAAGGCACAGGTGAGTGAGGGAGCAGCGTGCTCATGGGTCTCTGCTCCTCCCAGAGGCACAGGGCAGCCCGGCCTTGGGTGCGGGTGTGATGGGCCTTATAACCCGGTCGGTAGAGCACCTGAACGGCTCTGGCAAGTTCTCCTCCTGTTCCCATCTGAGGACATTACCCTTACGGGATCAGGGGTAAGGTTCTCACATGGGAACAGGGTTAAGTTTTTCTTAAGTTTCCTTTCCAAACCCTGTGCCATGTGATTGGGGAGGTGACTCAGCTGTGAGTCCAGTGACTCAGAGTCACCAGGAGCCAAAACACCATCTGATCAGCACCATCTCATTGTCTGGGGACTAAGGACTTAGCGGGCGGCTGAGACCCCCAGGCCTGCACACAGTGCCCCAGCCCCACCCCTTTTACACTCCTGGCCCTGCAGCTGCTGGGAGACAGCACTTGATGCTTGTAAGCGCCCTGTCTGCTTGGTGGGCTGGCCTTCTCAGTGAACGCCTTATAGATCTCAACCTGCCTTCGTGATTGGACATAGCGACAGGCGGCCCAAGTCCGCCCTGGGGTTTCTGGGTAACAGACGAACACTCCCTGTAAGGATCTCCACTCAGGCCTCTGGGATGATCAGCCAGGCAGGACACAGCTCAGCCTCTGAGCCAGGCGCCCTCCTTGCTGAGGTGTTAGGGAAACTGCATGCTGCTTGGGAGCTGGGGAGCCCCCATACTCCCTCTGGCCTCACTTCCCTCAGAGCTCACCCCAACAGAGGCCACATGTCACAAAGCCTCTCGGCAGTGGGTGGGAGCACCCAGACCTGGCACTGAGGTGGCAGCCACAATGACCCAGGGGATGGAGCAGCCATGAGACATGGTCACCCTTGGGTGCTCTCCAGTTCTCCCAGCCGGACCAGAGGGGAGCACCAGGGAAGAGGGAGTGAGAAAGGAGGTTCACCTTCCTGAGGCTGGAAGGAGGGCCCAGCAGGACAGGCTCACCCATCACTCACGCAGTGGCCTCACCTCGTCCCCACCATCACCTGACCATCAGGATTGTATGCCCCTGGGACCCTGGCACGTGGGAGCGGAAGCCATATCAGGGGTCTGTTCAGCCAGGAACCCACTCCTCTACCAGCAGGGGATTTTATTCTTCTTCTTCTTCTTCTTTTTTTTTTTTTTTTTTTTTTTCAGTTTGCAGATTCTTTTATCTTTATTCAATGTTAAAAGATAGGAAAAAGGCATCCTATATTAATGCATAAAAACCCTTGGGGGGGAAAAAGTCAGTATTAACCAGGTATAGTTATATAAGAAAGAGCTAATATTCTAATTTTTAAGTTCAGAACATCTGAGAAAGCATTTTTTTTTTCATCAATACAAAAGTTTATTTAACAAAAGTTCAATGTGAAAATGGACAGGACTCTATCTTTATATTGTAGGAAAACAGGTGCTGTGGAGAAGGGATATGTGGAAACAGTTGATTTCCCTGGTAACTACAGCCATTCTTCATACTCGTTCCAATGATAATACTGTTTCCTCGGATTACCACCATTCCAATATTGTTCTGTTGCCCACCTGTTGCCATCTCCACACATTCATCTATCACAACATTCATGAAGGGATCAAATCCCCGTAATATTCCTTGGACATGTCTGCCACCATTTAACTTCAATGATAACTTCTTGTCCATAAATTTTTTTAACTCGGGAGGGTGAGCTTTGCTCACGGTGTCCAAGCGAGCTCACACACACTTCCAAAGGGAATTCGCAGCCTCTCTCGATTTTATTCTTCTTGACCCTCACCCAAGAGAAGCACATCAGTTGGTTGGCTCTTGCAGGAGCCCTGACCACAGCCTGGGCAAGGGAGAAGCCTGCAACCAAGGTACATGCCCTTGACCAGTATCAAAACCTGGACTCTTTGGTCCTAAGGCTGATGCTCTATCCACTGAGCCACACTGGATATTTGTGCCAAATCAAAAATTTTCGATTTATATACAGAGCCCTGTAGACCAGTGAAGGCACCTTATAGGTTTTAATCTGTTCAATATTCTAAAGGAATAGGCTTAGCCCTGCTGGTGTAGCTCTGTGGTTGAGCATCAACCTATGAACCAGGAAGTCAGGGTTTGATTCCCTGTCAGGGCACATGTCCAGGATCCAGGCTTAATCAATGATTCTCTCTCATTGTTCATGTTTCCATCTCTCTCTTCCATTCAAAATCTTTTAAAAAAATGTTTTAAAAAATGACAACAAATGAAAATAAAAGAAATATGCCTTGATACCCTAGCCGGTTTGGCTCAGTTGATAGTCCATCAGCTTATGGGCTTATTGGTCCCAAGTTCAATGTCAGTCAAGGGCACATGCCTGGGTTGCTGACTTGATCCCCAGCCCAAGACTGGGGCACCTGGGAGAGGCAACCAATCAATGTGTCCCTCTCACATTGACATTTCTCTCACTGTCTCTCCCTCTCCCTCCCACTCTCTCTAAAACTAAAGGAACAATACCCTTCAGTGAAAATTAACAAAACAACTACATAAAAATAAGAGCAATATGCCTTTAAATCCCCCACACTGATGTGCAACCACTGAGCAAGGCAGGTAGTCCTTTCTGTTCCCACGGTCTCCACGACCCTCCCCCCGGAGCAGCTCAGGACCTGCCGCCTTGGCGTCCTCCCAGGGCACAGCCTCACCTCAAGCACCTTCTGGGCAGAGCCCTGGCATCGTTCCTCCAGCTCCAGGATGCGGCTCTCCAGCTCCAGGCTCTGCTGCCCCAGTTTGGCCTCACGTTCTCTCAGCCTCCGCAGTGTGTGCTCTTTCTCGCTCTCCAGTCTCCACAGGTATACGCTCTCCTCCTCCCTCAGGAAGCTGTGCAGTTTCTGGAAGTCCTTCTGGATTTTCTGCTTACGAGCATCTATCTTCTCCTAGAGTCAAGAGAGGATTCTCAGCCGAAACTGGTTTGGCTCAGCGGTAGAGCATGGCCTGCAGACTGAAACGTCCCAGGTTCGATTCCAGTCAAGGGCATGTACCTGGATTGCAGGCGCATCCCCGGAAGAAGGTGTGCAAGAGGCAGCTTGTCGATGTTTCTCTTTCATGACATTTCTAGCTCTCTATCTCTCTCCCTTCCTCTCTATAAAAAAATCAATAAAATATATTTAAGAGAGAGAGAGAGAGAGAGGATTCACAACCTGGCCTGCAGGCCAATGGGTCTCAGGGGTTGAGCGTCCAGCTATGAACCAGGAGGTCACGGTTGGATTTTCAGTCAGGACACAAGCCCAGGTAGCAGGCTCCATCCCCAGTAGAAAGCACGCAGGAGGCAGCAGATCCATGATTCTATCTCCTATTGGATGTTTTGATCTCTCTCTCCCTTCCTCTCTGAATCAACACAAATCTACACCAATAAAAGTGAAATATGTAAATTAACCATACCTCCACATGCCCACCAACCAATCAGGAGGGAATATGCAAATTAGCAAGTTAAAGATGGCCTCTGTCCTGCCCCCAGGGGTTCCAGGAGCAGAGCAGCTGCTCAGGGCAGAATGCCTGCTATAAGCAGGAGGTGGGGTGGGGTGGGGGGAGCTATAGGAGCAGTGCTCTGTCAGAAGAAAGTGAAGCATGCAGACCCCGGAAGGAGCAAAGGCAGAAGGCAGGAGCCAGAGTAAAGGCCTGGGTCCCGGGAGCCTGAGGAGCACCGTGGTCAGCAGCCAGGTGAGGAAAGACCTATTGCCCAAATCTTCACGCAACCGGCCTCTAGTAAAAAATAAAAAAGAAAGTGGGAAACCCAGTGGGGATGGCTCTCGGTAAACAGTCATGTGATTCTGCATCTCTGACAGGCACTGCCCTCCTGGCCATTTCCTGCTGGAAGGCGGGAGGGGCAGGGGAGGAGTTCTCATCCATGCGGACAACAAGGACAATGGCTTCTTCTCAGGGTTCCACCTGCCTCCTCTGGTTCAGTGACACCGTGACTGTGCTTTGCCCAGTCAGACCCTACACCTAAGCCAGGACAGACAAGAGCTTGACACCAAGAAACCCGTGTCTTTTCGGTGTGGCTGGCGTTAATCCTCACCCGAGGAGGTTCTTTCCAATGATTGTTAGAGAGAGGGGAGTAGAACGGAGGGAGGGTGGGGAGAGAGAGAGCGAGAGGAACATCAATGTGGGAGAGACGTCCACTGTTGCCTCCTGCACACGCCCCACTGGGTGGGGATTGCACCTGAGCCCAGGGGTGCCCTCCAGCGGCCCCGGCGAGAAGCCCCCATTCTCACACTCCACTCGGCTATCTGCTTGGCCGTGAACGCTTTCTGGCTGGCGCATTCCTCTTCCAGTTGCCTCAGCTTCCTCACCGCTTCCCGGAGCTTCTCCTGGAAGGAGACATGGAGTGACTCTTGCTGACCCACACCTCGCTGCTCCCTCTCACAGGAATGACCTGAATGTCCATGCCCGGGGCCTCTGTCCAATGTCACCTGGTCCTCCTCTGGGCTAATAGTCAGGACACCCTGCGGGCACCTAGACTGAGCTGATTGGAAGGCTCAGGGACACCTGCCTGTCTCTACTCGCCCCCGCCCGCTGGCTGTTTGTTTGCCACAGGGTCCTCTCACATGGAGAGCCCTCTCTATGCTCACACTCCTATATGCAATTAATTTTGTTTTTAAATCTATAACAATAAAAGCCTATTATACTAATTACATCAGAATTCCTTTTGGACAACCTTCCGGAAGAACCTGAGGCTGTAAGAAAAGCAAGAGTCCTGGGTGCCAGAAGGAAGGCCTACGTTGGCATGAATTTCGAGGGTCAGGCCTCTATTATGTATATATTTTTACTCCTTTCAGAAAGGAAGAGAGAGACAGAAACATTGATGAGGCAGA